TAAACAGATAGATAAACAGACAGATAAACAGGTAAATAGGCCGATAGGTAAAGAGATTAATCAGTTAATAGTAAAAAACGAAAAACAAAGAATAAAAGAACATAAGAATCAATTTGATAGATTACATTAGGGATCGTTTGAGCGTCAAAGAGAGTCCCTACATCATCAAAGGGAAAGCACCCAGCTAGACATCCATCACCGAATCCTAAACAGCCTTCACCTTCACAGTCTATCGAACGTACTCAAACCTCAGCCAAAGCTCTTCGAACCGCGTTGATTCCACAAAGAAGAGCCACCAGCAGAACATAGGGAAGGGGAAGATCGCCGTGAAAGATGTTGACGGCGATCTGGGCGTCGGTCCTAGCAGAAGAGGATTCCCCAGCCCAAAGTTGACCCATACAGGTATGAAGCTACCCACTGAGATGGCGTTCATTTGGGTTGTCTTACTGACTGTCCTAGTTTGAAGATGAGTCTTTATTGTCTACGCCAGGTGCCCGAAGCACGACATCTCATACGGTGCAGGATTTCGAAAACAAGATTAACACGCCATTCACACCTTTGTCCTCGTCTTCGTTCCTGTTAAATGAGCCCACTCGAGATAATTTTCCGAGCAAAAGTCAGGGATTAGGCTACGCTGCTCAAGAGTTGGCCAGGTCTCAAGATTTACAGAAACAGGTCAATTGCAAAAAACATGAGATTCTTCAGCTCCGTGGTCAATTAAAGGTGAAAAAAGGAGGTCAGAGAGCTCAAGAGCTTGCTGGGCAATAGCCCTGAAACGCAGCAGATAGAAGATCTAAAAAAAAGACAATTATTTCTTGAAGGCGAGATACAGATTCTGAATGAAGAAGTCAAGAATCTCGGAACAGAAAGAGATCAATTACAATCACAATTGAACGAGTCCCAAATGAAAAGCGCTCGCTTGGAAGGGTAATTGATTGATGCATTGGGAAAACAAGACATTCTCCTAAATCAACTTCATGAGAGCGAAAATGAAACACACAAAGAACGCAGCAAGAATCTCGAAAAGGAGAAACTTGTCAGATATGTTCTCCTACGAGCCCCTCGCCAGCCCCTTCAACGAGCAAATCCAGCTCAAACACATCCGTCAAAGACAGACTTAGTTCGCCCAAGAAACAATTTGATCAAACAAAATCGATCGGAGTTTCGCGACGAGGGAAAGAACGGCAGGACTTGGCTTTCGTCGTACAAAAAAGATCTGATGCTGAAATTAAATTGTTAAACGCAGAGAAATCTCGGGTTTTAAAGGCCGTGATACTTCTTCTTCACTAGAATCCCCAATAGGTGCGAAATGTATCTGCTTTATTTTCGTTTGCATGTGAGAGAGTATGGGTCTACCCCAAACCACACTCTGCCTGTATCGTCGATTTCTACATACTCCGAATTTTTCCAGTATTTTTCTTTCCTTTCCTTTTCTTTTCGTTTCTTGTATCTATCCCAGTCTTTCTTTGCTCTAGCTGGCAACACCCAGAATGTATTGATGTCATGCGAATAAACTCCTCATGAATGTCTTCTATAAAATCTTGTACCCTGTATCAGATCTTAGCAAACCATACTTTCAATTATTATGCAATATCTCAAATATCAGAATACTCTGGCCAGTATCATCATGAATATCATGCAGTGACAGAGGTAGTGGGTGGAAGACGTGAATTTTCTTGAACATGAAAAACTAGGTATCTCTATCCATCCATTCTATTCACAACAGGAGCGATGGAATTCCACATGAAACAAGCTTCTTATTTTCTACTAGACACGGATTGACATGTTTAAAATTGAAATCTACCCAAATAGACAAGGCGAGGCTTCGAATTCCACGCGCTGAGTAAAAGCAACCAGCTACCTCTGTCAGATAAAGATAACAACAGTACTTATCAACGCGGAAAACATCCAGACAGCTGTGAGAACCCCAAGCTTAGGGGGACAGAACCTAATTACAGTTAGTCAAGATGATTAGACTAAGTAGGTATGTGCAGGGATACGTACTCATCTGCAAGAAGACCAATGAAACCAGTCGAGAAGAGCCACTGCGCAATGCAGAGAAGGAACATGTTTATGGCTGCTGAAGCATACAAGCTTTGAAATGGGGTTTGGGAAACGACATGGTGTTGTCGTTTCACAGAGAAAGTTCCATACGTTATACCATACGACCTGTATTCTCCGCCCTCGACACTTGTTAACGGGGTGTTTTGTGTAGCTCGCATGAACTGAATAAGTGTCATGATAATTAAAATAAGCCACATTAGTGCTCCAGCGTACATGACTTTTGCCTGGTAGGCTTTCTCCGCTCCTTCGAGACCTCCAAGGTAGAAATTATGTTCTCGGCCATAATCGACAGTCATGAACATGTAATATGATGTTGCGAGTTGAAGAATACTTTCCGCGAATAGCAATGACGCAGCGGCGGAGAGTTTCATCGACTCGATGGGTTGTAGACCAATTAGCGACATCGTCAGCCAAGCAAGACGAGGCATGCAGCACCAGAGGAGCATCAATTGAAGAACTGGAGTGTCCTCATAACCAGGAGATGACTGGACAATCATGCTGTTGAACCAGTTTGCCAGGAGGTGCAGATTAGCGATCAGAAGCCCCTTGAAAAACCAATGGAGCGGGTGTGAGGGTTTTGAAGAGTCACGCGAGATTCGATGATTGCTGATTATCTGGCTGAAGAATGCGGCAAGTAGAGTAGCTATGTTGACCAAAGCAAAGCTTCCGAGCTTCCATTCATTCCAAGGACATGTCTCTCTTGCCCCGACGTATCCCACACGTGTTTTATTAGCTACCTCTGAATGAAGAGATGACTTGAGAGTCCATCCCCATGGAATCATGTCGCTAAGAGTGGGCGCGGCTAATTGATGCCAATTCTCCGGCAGACCGTGCCAGTCCTGCAGATCGCCACAAAGACCGTGCAGCCACTTGACATAGTCCATTCGGGTCTCGAAGACCTCGCATGAACCACCGCAGGAATTGTAGCTGAGGTTGTGGCAAATACATGCCCTGTCGACTGCACGCCTGACTTTGCAGTAACCGCTTGAGTCGAGGTCACAAGCATCGGTTACACACTGATCAAGAAGTTGAATCACCTGTTTCGGCATGTCCGCGATACACTTGGGCCACTTCCAATCATCTGTGGAAATGTATGCGAATTGTGTGGTTTTCAGTCCGTGTGTCCAGTTATCGGGTAAGGACGTCGATCCACAGATCACATTCATCCAGAGGCGCTCCTTCGTCAAATCCAATTCGGCTGACTCTGAACAGGGTTCGTTTTTGAAATCCATCGTGAAGGTGCTGCAGAAGCAATCTTTATCGAAATATTCACCATCTTTGATTTGATGTAGTAGACGATCGTAGATGCGATGCAGTACGAGGTTGTAGCCAGCAGTTTCAAAATCCAGAGCGATCATAGACCGTAGATATTCACTATATTCCCAAGGACGATCAACGTTTCCCATGTCTCTGGTCGAACCTGTGAAGCCGCAGGAGGCTACGACATGTTGAAATGGCTCCATCGATAAAGCAGACATCGAGTCGGTCAGACATTTCGGTGCCTTGTCAATCACGTCAATGACTGTGTACCCTTCAGCCAGCGAGGCGGGGGAGAGACTCTCTAGTCCGTTAGAGTCGCCGACCTCGACAAGCCACGTTCGACCGGTGATGGTGCGAATCCATTGATACAATTGCGCTCTGGCAAGAATCGATCTATCACAGTATGCGAAATAGCCTTTGATGACATCTGGGGAAAATTCAGTGCTGAGACAGCTGAGCTGAGTGAGCCATTGGTGGTGGGTGCAGATGAATGTGAAGTGAGAGGTGCATTGTTTGTCGGTACATTTCGTCATGGCTCTCAGCCAGGTTGACTGATCTTGCTGAGCGATGCACTGTGGCATAGGAGACAGATCCTCGGGGTTCACCCAGCCATCATAGTTGTCTTGGGGTAAGAAGAGCTGATCCTCCTCGTTATGATCAACGGCGGGGATAGTGGGATGGGATGATTCTGTAGTCTTATGTTAGCGCCGAAGGTAGTGCCTCGATAATAGATAGAGAGTAAGCACCTCTAACGTCGATCCCGCAAATCCCAGCCGTGAACAACAAAACAAGCGTACTAGATATTTTCATCTTGATGATAGTATCTAGGTGCGTTGTGCTTTGAAGTAGAGTAAAGCAAAACTGTCGAGAAGTTGTTGATGTCCAGGGCGGGGTGCGAGGCTGCGAGCGCTACAAAAGACGAGAGTCGGCTGGACATCGGTCCGATCAGTCCAGCGCAGGGATATCCAGTCGCGCGGTTAACTATGGACATTCGATAACTTAAGAGATCCTACATCTGTATTTACGTCAAGGCGAGCGCATCACCTGCCTGGAAGAATTCCACATCGATAGATCATATCCAATTGTTGGCATTCGACCATCGCTTTATGAGCATCGCCGAGCAAATGGGGCTGTGTATATGGCGGCTCAGGAGGGATTCCCAAAAATCTTTTCTTGTCTAGTCACTATTCAATCCGATATACAGCTTTCCTGCTCTCACGGACTGGATAACCCAACACTCTAGAGCATCCAATACATATTCAGTCATACACAACAAGCAAGATCACACTAAAATTCTTCGGTAAAAGATCCCTTCTGTTCGCCTCGTTCTCTGTTTGATAAAGAAACACAGTCAACCTAATATCTTTATCTCTGTTTCTTCTCTGAGTCTCCTTCATCAACAGAGCTTTGTCCCGCGAAAATCGACTGAGCAGCCCACGGAGCCGGCCATGCCAGCGAGTCCAGTTCCGCATGATCCTCACCAGAGACGAGATGATCCACGATAGCGATGAAAATATACGCGCCAATGGCTGTGAATATATGCCACCTGTTTCATATCAGTATTCAAGCCCGCTGACAGGTCATACGACAGGCAACGATGAGAACATACCATCCATGCAGCTCCAACACGAAAGCCCAAGGAAGACCGATCTTGGCTTTCCAGGTATTCAGAATCCCGCAGATCTTGTTATCAATGAGCCATATATAGAACCCCAGATTGAAGATCACTAATAGCATACATTAGTACATTTTCCGAGGCCCAGAGTGAAGATTCAGCTGAGATACCGGCTCCAAACCGCACTATTCCCCAGACTTTCCTCCGTGCTGCTGAGTTCGCTTCCGTGCGGCTCTTGACAAGCTGCATCGTGCGAATCCCGATCACTACCACCATGACGCCGAAAGACACGGAGTGCAAGATCAGCTCATCTGTCGCGACATGATATGTCACTAGAGCTGCGAGAAGAGATCCAAGAAGTATGGCCAATCGAACCGAGTCCTGACTATTAGAACGAGCTGTCAAGACACGGTGGAGAACGGGTGTCGTTGCGAAGAGCATGGAGAGGTCATCCACTCGGACAGATTAGCATTACTCTCTACATCGCAGCCGGATGTGAGGATTCACTCATTTGCGTATGGTATTTCATAGTGATGTGGAATGATGCGGAGCAGATGCCAACTGCCATGAGACCATAGTAGGGAATGACACGGAAGACATCAGTGTTTGATTTGCGGTTAAGTTGACGGAGACCGTGGATTGCGAAGAGAATATAGGATATGTTGGTGAGGCTGTTGATGAACTCGGCGATGTATCGTGTTATAGCATAGTCCTATCTCGATTGGAGAAGATGTTATTCAAATGCATCCGTATAGTTCCTTGATCGCATGATTACCTCTTCGCAGAAACTGTTGGTATGTTAGCTGACGGTTATCAACAAGTGGTGAACGGGAAACGTACTTGGAATTTGCAGTTGTGGGGCCCCAGAAGGGGCTATTCGGATCAGACGACATTGTCGAGTGGTTGACGTTGAGCAGCAGGAAGGTACACGTCGCGAGATAGGTCTTTAAGCAAAAATAAGGCGCGTGGGGGCTGCTTGAAGGATTTAGGCCGTATGCATAAGCACTAGCGATCAGGCTACATAACTTGCTGTCTCCCGTAGTTAATTATGGCGCCTTCGTTGGTTAGATATTCTACTATTAGTAATCATACGTCTTTTTACATCCTACAAGCCCATCGTTGCGCTTGGAATAAAGTGCCGAAACATGAACATATGGAGACTGACTAATTCAAGCAAGGGTGATAAGCAAAGAGCCCAGCACTATCACCAAGCCAGTCGTTTTCCATACATCGCGTACCATCTGCTAAGCAAGGGTCTAGTGTTAGTATATCTTAGAAGAAAAGCCCGTATATAGCCATCCATGCATCTTTTCCAGTTAACGACAAAATGTTCCCGGTGACCTAGCAAGAATTAGTCATATACGCACTCCACCCGATTGATGAAGAAACGAACAGTCAAATTCAAGACACAAGTGATAAATCTTTTCAAAATCCCCCATTCGTATAAAGCCATCATCAAGCTTTAGAGCCCTGGTCGATTCAACTATTTTCTGATGGGAACTGTCGCACTTGCGATCGTAACACTTGCAAGAGTAGTTACTCTCAATCTCCTCCCAGGATTTAGTTGGATGCTGAACGAGCATTTTCATCCAGCTTGCTTCCTCTCGTTTGTATGCCTGCGTATTGTATCCGCTCCGTATTACGGATAGAGGACAGACACAAGGGGACAGTGAATGTACATGTATCTCTACATGCTCCGTCAAATGGTGCATGATATTGGGCCAGAGGAGGGGGTTCCACCGTAATTTCTTGCCAGAGCCTGGTTTTTTAGCTTGTTTGAAAAAAAAAAATGCCCGTTGGATTGGAAAGGATTCCTTGACCAATTCATGCCAGACTCGACAGGTACGCTGAACGGATACCAATAGCGTGCTCAAGTCAGTTTCCAAGAGGATTAACTCCTGGGTCTCGAGGGGTGGAGATAAAATCGTTGGCTTGTGGCCTTCCAATTTGAGTCATTTTCGGTTTCATGGTTGTTGTTGAGATAGCTCGGATTTTCAGGTTCTTGGCTGGAATCATGGTGTAGGACTGAGTCATGGTGTGAGATAAAAACTCTTGTCATATTTTCTAGCATTGTTCTTGCTGGCTAAAAGTCTATCATTATACATCATCGGCAAGACCCGTCCGTTCCACGGACTCCTTCAATAATCCAGTGTTTGTTTGATGGCATCATATATTCCTGTGCATTTCATTAGTCTGAATTCTTGAACGCTGATGGGAATACTTACTTGCGACATCCGGTAGGATGAACTTCTCATAGGAAAGCCCTGTATGCGTACTCCATCCCGCAACTCGCTTCACCGGGGCCTCCAATCGGAGAAAGGCTCCGTCTTGGATCGTGGCGGCCACTTCTGCGCCAACACCGTAGTTGATCATGCTCTCGTGGACTACGATCGCTCGCCCGGTTTTCCTCACACTCTCCAACACTGTCTCCCGGTCCCACGGGTATATCGTTCGGAGGTCGATCAATTCGATGCTAGCGCCGAGGGCCTTTTCGGCGGCGGCGATGGCTGCCGAGCAGAGATACAAGGGCTGGCCATATGAGATAACCGTGACGTCGTTACCCGGTTTGAGAATTTCCGCTTTGCCCAGCGGAATCGTGTAGTATTCGTTCGGAACCTGCTCCACCGCCGCGCGATACAGCACCTTCGGTTCCATGAAGATAACCGGATCGTTGTGCTCGAAAATCGACGAAAGGAGAAGACCCTTGGCTTGTGATGGCGACCGTGGCATAACGACATGCACACCGGGGACGTGGGCGAACAGTGATTCCGGCGACTGTGTATGATACCTAGCATCGAGCATGAGCATGAGCTTCAGGCCCGTCTATCCCAACCTTCCCAATTTACTTACAGAGCACCGTGCCCGACTGCACCGCAGGGCATTCTCACCACCATCCCCCCCGCATTGACCCCCGTGCCGCCCTCACGATAGCGGAATTTCGCAGCCTCGTTGACAATCTGATCGAAGGCCGGGAACACGTAATCTGCGAACTGGATCTCCGCGACGGGTTTCATCCCCTGCGCAGCAGCTCCAATGGCAAATCCCACGATTCCTTGTTCTGTCAACGGTGTATTGAAGACCCTCTCCGACCCGAACTCGGTTTGTAGATCCATCGAGCATCGAAACACACCGCCGAATGCGACATCTTCGCCAAACAGCATCACCTTATTCGACGACGCAAGGGCGGTTCGCAGCGCGGAATTGATCGCTTGGTAGAGGTTCAGGGTCTTGGTTGTTGTCGAACCGGGAAGATCGAGGGCATCGGATAGGGACGATGAGGTTTGATGAAGGAGCGGCGTGGACTTGTAATCGATCGGGAGGTTCAGTCGTGACGTGGGGGATGCGGCGGCTGAGTATAGTCGGCGAGGTTGCTGTAACAGCAGCCGTGGTACGCGGAGAGGGGCCATTGTGACAGGATGGATTGAAAGCACACAGGGTTAATAAATTACAACAATAGAAGAAGCCCAATCGAGAGGGAAAAGGGAGAGACCCCGTCACCCCAGATTTAAAGACCCCTTCGGCGGATGTTCGTCATGCGGGGACAAACGCCGCGGATAACCGAGCATCGGTGTCTGTATGCCTTGGTGCCTTGGTGCCTTGGCGTCTGGATACTTTGGTGCCTGATAAACCGGGCTACAACCAGGCATCAACTCATGCCTTATCTGGCAGGCACTATGAAGCTCAACCATGCCTAGTTTAAGAGGTTTGTTCTACAACAATTGACTTACTTCTTTCTGGTATTTGTAGCGGGTAAATGAAAGCATCAATTCTTTTTTTGTAAATTCCATGCCCTCGCTCTTTTCGGATGCGCATCCAAATCCATAGCTCTGGACAGATCTTCTCTCTGTATGAAAACTTAGCCTGATGAACCATACTGAGCACAGATCATGAACGATAGTCAATCAGCCATAGCATCTGTAACTACCGCAGGCTCAGTCTCTTTGCGTTCCCAAAGACACGCGAAACACAGAAAAACTCCTAACAAATTTCTCAGCATTGTTCACATTTCAACCATTGTCCCATTGCCCTCACCGACTTCCTCCGCATTTTTGTTCTTCGAGGACGCCTGCAGTTGTTACAATGTCCATCGTCCTTGTTTTCAGCAAGACCAATGGTTAAGGACATTGGAAACATCACCAAAAGCTCGCCTTAGCACGGGATATACCCCGTATAAAAGCAGATATTTAAACTGGATTCTTGGTCCCACAAATCTCAGATTTCTGACTATAGAATCCCCAAAGAAGTGTACCAGTCGCTGTCGGCACATTATGCCTGTCGTTGCTGGGCTCTTTCCTGCTTCAAGGGCCGCCTTCTTATCTCTCCACCAGTTTCCCTGCGGCGGCAGCCGTAGAACGGTGACGATGGCAACGAGGGAGGCGAAGTCGGTGTTCATCTTCCTTATTGACCCAGGTATTGAGCACCCGAGGGCTCGGAGATATCCCTCATTCTTTAAGGGTCCAAGAGCCGGGAAATCCTCTTGTTGAGCAATATTATCCTCCTTCACAGCAGAGATGGTTCGTCTTGCAGTATGTCAGGGACTTCGAGGTTGTAGATACGCGGAATCTAACTCATAGTCAATCCACCAGTTCAAGTACTGAGCAAACGAGATGCTTACGTCAAGGAGGTCCTTGTCCTCCTATTCCTAGACCACGAACTATCCAAATGCATCGACTATTGATCGCCTGTCAAAAGGATCCTGTAAAGTTGCCCGGGATTTACTCCTGGCCGTGAATGACCTGGGTAATTAGTCTGAAACTGGATTCTCCAGCTTATATTCTTCAAAAGATGTCTCAAGATGGGGTCGTCTTTCAGTGTGTCAGGGGCTTCGAGGCGGTAGATACGCCGGACCTGATTTCGTTGATAAACGTTAATCCACCAGTTTAATAACGAGTCGATGAGAAACTTACATCAAGGAATCCCGGGCTTCTCGCACGGCAGTTAGCGTGTGTAGGGCTGCCAAACCCGCAGCGATTCATTGAATCTCGCGCCTCTCGAAGGGCAGATATTGATAGGCCCGTAGATAGTTCTTGCAAGATTGTTAAACCCTCCCTCGCCTAGGCGGACGTGTTGTACGGGTTGGCCATTTGTTCTCCTGTTTCTCGATTTAACACCAGAAGAGAAAACCCAGAGTACTGGTTCCAAGAAATGGCTGCCTGCTCAATCGAGCAGGAGTCCGAAAGTCGAGCCCAGTCGGGCTAGAGATGGAAAACCTTGCGAACACCTAGAACACTCTATCTCACGAGGAGGCGTTTAGCAAGATTCGCGAATCATTGAAATTCGCCCTGGCGCGAAGAAAGCCGGGGTCTACCCAGCCAACTGTTCCATTTGGCCCAATCCCATTATCCACATCCCAAACCAATGAAGGAGCCGATACGAGAAATTCTCCATGCTTGCATCATCGAAGGTTTATCTTGAGGCAATAGCAGTCGCAGGGGTGGCGGCAGGAGTGGCGACGATGACGGGAGGGAAAGGTTGGAGGGATAATGGAGGAGGAGAGGGGATGAGCGACTGGCTGAGCTCGCTTCCTTAGGCTATAGAGACGGCAGAACAATAGAGTGATTCCCTTTAAACAAATTCCTGAGTACCACAAGTTTGAAAGGAGATTGGCTTCAGGAATTTAGAATCTGCTGCAGTATATCATTCACAACTTTTAATTTTATCTTAGTATATTCGAGATGTCGATCTATAGGACCCAACAGTAATACTTCGCATTGCTACCTAGAAACTAGAAACCAGCTTTCACTACTTAGTCATGAATGCCTAAAGCCAAGCGCCTATACTATCCAACGATTGTCGACTTTATATCTAATCGGTGCAGCACAGTGCCTTTGATCCGCTGATACAGCAGGGGCCTGGTCCTAGGCATCGACCCCTGGCTTTTTCCTTATAGCCATTGGGACATTCACCCTTGCAAAAGGGAGCAAATCCGGCAACGACACCTGCGAAGTAGCTTCTAATTAGAATCTTCTGAGCCCGCGGGAAAGTAAGGTACATACATTTATTCTCGTCATCAACTTCAATAGAGTGTTCAACTTGCATGTCTACGGTCTTCTCAACGGTGATCTCGTAGTGCTCCACGACAGTTTCGGCCTCAGGCTCCTCGGACGGGACGGTCTCCTCGTTGGCCATGGAATCTAGACAGTCAGTCCTAGGACATTCTTTCTTCATCTGTGGGGATAGGAACACTCAACTATAACAGCACAATCTTTTCATTCCCACGACACAGCATTTTCCTACGCCGCAGGCATCCCATCCTCGTTGGACCGTGCCTCCGGGGCAGCCACTACTGCACCAAGGAGCGGTTCCACACCAGACGCCTACAGGTGGATGGATTCAGAAACTGCTCGGGTGTGAAGAAGGCTAGAACGTACAGTTCGGATTCTCGCGGCCAGCATCGGTACAGCCCAGAGCGCCGACATCTCCGTTGGCCAAGAGAGTCTGTTGTTGGTCGATTTTGTCTATCGAGTTAAATTTAGTTTATGATCGATGCCTTCGGTGTGATACATACGGATCGCAGACGCAAGGCATTGCCCTGCTAGGAACAAGGTAACGGCGGCAAACTTGAAAAGCATCTTGTGGAGTTTTCGAGTTCAATTTGATTCTTTTAATGAGCCAGTGTCAAGATGTATACTGATAGTTTGAAAGTCAAGTGGATTTCAGCTTCAATTTATCCCCGTTCTCAGTCGAGTACTTCTGTCACCGCTCACCTGAACAATGCGGCTTCCGGACTGTAGGCTTGTGCAAATCAAGTTCCAGGACGCATGTGCTCAAAGTGGCTGGCTGTTATTCTATCTGAAGGTAGACGTGACGATATTTTCAGGCTGCAGCGTGGCTGTCATATACTGCAATTCTGGTTCGAGAATCCAAAAATCCCATACGGACGTGTGGTGAGCATGAACTGTAATTGGAACAGGGACCACGCCACAGAATTGAGGCAATGGTTCATGGCTGGCTGGTGATTGCGGTGTCTATGAAGATCATTGTCCAAGTATAATCCCTATATTCGGAGAGGTTATAGTTCCCGGGCTTTGCCATGAGAGCGATTGGGCTAGATTCTCGGCTTGGGCCAATCATTCTATCAAGGTAGTCCCCGATGAGGTCGGTTTGCTCATTCCATGCATGTTAGGCAACATAGGGCAAGATGCAAGCTGAGCTCAACAGCTTCAACGTCTGTCTTGGCGTCAGCACTACACAGGACCCTGGTCACCGGTTCATGCAGTTGCCGCGCTGAAGATATACACAATGGCCATCTCCCCGCGGATCCGGGCCCGACTTTCCAGATCAGGTGGTCTGAATGATCGTGTCTTCCTCTCTAGGTCATACACCCATCCAGCTAGCCACAAATGAGGTGGAAATCTGAACGTAAGTTGGAAAAGTTCAGTCAAATTGTAACTTGGCTAGGGCCATTTTCCATCACTCAACCTTGGAGCTGTGAATGACAATCATAAGTTCAAGCATAGCTTTGTGATGTCGAGATTATCGAGAAAGACCCACCATGAGAAAAGTGGGTACAACCGTTCATGATACTGAGAGGGGGAAAAGTGACTACGGAGTAGTGTGGATAATCTCCGCTGCAGATAACAGGTTCGTCAGGACGCAAATTGAAAAGTAGGTTAAACAGGCCCATCGAATCACAGCGAGATGCAGGAACGGGTGTTCCTACTCAGGGCGGCAACTCGTATATGCGGATAGGTATCCCCCCTTTTTTTGTGGTCTCGCTCAAAGATCACCCCTGTAGTTGGGCACAAGTGAGTGCAGATCCGGATGCATAAGAAGGTGCCCAAGATATCAGTCCATCAGATACAGAGAATAGTTGGTGTTGAATAGTCCTGCAAGGTATCTTTGAAATGCGACTCTATGCTGGTTAGGTATTGTGGAAGACATTGACAACAGTGCCCCGGGAGCTCAAGCACTGCAGGCTTTGTCGGACTGCAGCTGCTCTTTTCTCTTGTTTCTTTGCTGAATTTTATGCCATATACTATCTTGAATCTATTAATGTTAGTTCATTTGGTATGGCAACTACAATAGAGATCAATATATTCGAACGGGAAACCCTAGGCCCATTACCGTGGCAACCTTGAAAGACTTCGGTTCAATCCCATTATAAATACGGACCGGTCTTATTCCGAGTGATGATGTCAAGTATAGCAGGCCGAGATGGAGATGTGGAGGTCTCTAAGCGATGATGCAAGAAATTCCTCCCCCACAAACAAACGGGAGCAAACTCAGTGCCTGAGAATGCCTGACCGGGTAAACGCAGATGGCCCCACTTGGACCACATGCCAGTGTCTGATTGGCCCCCACACACTGGTCCGCGCCCTTCCCAAACAGGCAAGAACAACCACCTCTTGCCTGCCTCAGGCAGTCCGAATCATTTCCGCGTCGATCGCGCCTGCCGGTAGTCGTCAACGATCGTGGTTTAGGAATTTGGGCCATACACGCCAGTCATTTCGCGCCAGAATCCTCCTCCCAGGCGATATGGATTCAGTCCCAAGTCTCGCAGCAGTGTGTCGTTGTACTGGTCTTCATTAGCGACTTACGGAATACGGTACATTCCACGCTGTCGATCACTTACGTTAATCGCGTCCACGTCCAGACCACTCCCCGTCAAGCTGGCCCAGACCATGTCTTCAGATACCGATTCATACAGACTCTATAGGGCTGTGGAGTGAGAAAGTGGCGATTAGATCGGTCCCTAGTCCTTGCTTTCTATATCGCCGTCCAAACCCCCAGTGAGAAAGGCCGCAGCCCATAACGCTTGCACTTCGGCCACAACAGCAGTGGTCCCTGTCAGTATGACGCCTAGCGCGACAAAAGAACGATCGCCTTCAGCCACCAGCGCCGGAGACACCATGCGCCGAAAGAGCCGGTAGGGTGCGGCATCGCGCGATGATTCGGCCCGCGAGAAAATACCCGAGCAGAAAACGCGACGGAAATGAGATTCGGCCTAGTCATCGAAGGATTTCCATTTGCCTTGATGGTATCGTTGATTCATTTCTTCTGTATCGTTGCCGGGTCGGTCAGAGCCTAACCCAAGTGTCTCTCCTAGGTCCGGGGGGGGGGGGGGGTCGAATTCGATCGGTACTATGGGTTTATAGCCGGTGGCTTGCACAGTTAGATCAACAGACGGTATTTGAGTGCCGTCAGTCAGGTTTAAATCGGGTGAAGATGGAGATCCAGAGACAATGCGAATCTCCGACCCGTGCACATGAACATTCGAAGAGCGGAATGGTTCGCAATGCCTCCTGACGATGCGCAGTCAATTATCCTGGCCTCATTAGCGAGTGCTTACTACCAGTGAGCTCTACTTACCCCCTTGCTGAACACAGCTTTTTCATCTTCAAATTTGATGCGTAATCAATCGACCGACTTCCACAGTTGCCGTACGACAAATCGCCCTACAAAGTTACCGTGAAGACACCTCCTTGCCCAAGACCCTTCCATTCGCAGACTCCAACCCAGCCTAGACTGAGACTTGACCAAAATGACTCGCTTCGGCAGTGAGTAGACACAAGGTGTGAGAAGCCCGCAAATTCTTGTACTGGCTTGCTTGTCGCTGGCAACGGATTGTCCGTTCGGGAGCTTTGCCATCGGAGGAGCCATCCAGGCCACTCCCGAGCCCTGCTCGCGAATAATCTAATGGAGCTTAATTGGTTCTTGATGCTTCACGTTCAAATGCAGCTCAGAGCTACTTCGATGGAGAAAGGCAAACAGATGAACGAAATCATAGGATGATTTGGCCCTTCCTTGGATCGCTACTTTGCGAAGAGTCCGGGTTTCCATGGAATGATTATCTGGTTCCTCAACGGATGATGTTTTCTCAGGATTTGGAACTGGGTGATATCCAAAATTCTCTTGGCAGTAGCTTCCAGCGTTCTTGGCATGGATCCGAGCAATGTCCATTACTCTAGACATTGCGAAGACTCAGCATCAATGGCTCCAAAACTGCAGTTTAATCAAAAGGTACTTTCATCGAGATATAACGATCTGAAGTATCTAGAAAGACAAATAGAGTGAAATTTCTACAAAAATCTCGTAGCGTCGTGGGTGGAAAATGCTTGTCCAGCCCCGTCCGGTAAATATTGTTCTCGCAGGGATATTTAGTTTGGATTGTTTATCGAAGTGGACTCTATCTAGATTTAGAGCCATGGATGGTCGACGTGGGACAAAGAAACTTTGTCCTTGGCGCCTCCGGTGGCTGATGTTATACGAGGTCTCTGCCTATGGCTCAAGCTTCTCTCGAGTGGCGTCTACTGCATCAACCACGGTAACTTTAATGCTGGACTCGTTGTGGTTCGCGCATAGCTGCAACGCGTCCATCGCTTTTTCCAACGGGAAAGTATGCGACACCAATGGCTTGAGATCTAAGATTCCGCCGGACAGACACGCAATACCGGGAGCCCATGTATCACGATATCTGTTAATGAAACGCAAGTCGATCTACATCGTTCCTTAGTTTTTCGAACCTTTCACGAACACGAAAGGAAAACTTACCTCGGCCATGGAAATGTGCATGAAAGGCAAATTGTTCATCACGGACTTGCCCACGCCGATCACCACGACGTCGCCTCCTCGACGAGCAGTATACAGCGCCGTGCAGACACTACTTTCCACACCTGTACACTCCAGTATCGTCTCCGGCGCAAAGTATTCCTGCGATCCAAACAGCGCCCGAATGGCTTTGGCGTTTCCCTCCGCGTCCAATGACCGATCGACTTGGTATGTGACACAACTTGGCACGAACCGCTTGGCGAAGTCTAATCTACCAGCATCGAGGTCGGTGATCACGATCGGATGTGCACCGGAGGCTCGTGCGGCCGCCAGAGCAATCAGTCCAATGGGACCGGCACCGCAGATGACGGCGCCACGACCGAGCTGGAGACGAGCGACTTGCATGCCTCGCATGACGACGGACAGCGGCTCGAGGAGGGCGCCTTCTTCGTATGTCACGTTGTCTGGTAGTCTGCTGGACTGTTATATCCATCCTCGCCTACATCGAGGGTTTCTGCTCACTTGTGAAGCCATTTGGCGGGGTGGACTTTGTATCGTTGGATTGTACCGGCGTATGGATACACACCGGCGAACTGAACGTCCTCGCAGAGGTTGTACCGTCCATCGTCGCAGAGGAAGCAGTTCTCGCAAGGAACTCCCGGTTCCACGGCCACTCGGTCACCTATCGTCGTCAGCATCGCATAGTCGGAATCCGTTTGGATAGCCCCATGAGGGACAGGACCAACCGGGCTGTAAATTGGTGACTCCCTCGCCGCATTTCAACACTACACCCGCCGCTTCATGTCCGATGATGCAGTCATCTTCAAAGACGAGTTGACCGATGCGACCGGACTTCCAAAAGTGAAGGTCGGATCCACAGATTCCCGTTGCTTTGATTTGAAGGAGAACTTGGCCTCTCTGGGGCGCGTAAACAGGAGCCTCGACGAGCTTGAGGTTGTGGTCTGCAGTGACTTGTAGAGAGGGATTAGGAAGGGCTGTAGTCAGAGTGGATTTGGGGGAGGTGGCAGGGAGGTCAACCAGCGATGGAGACATGATGGTGTAGAATGGATCCTCAAGAGGGGCACCCGGACTTTGCGATAGATTCTTCTTATCCGGAGATGAAGAAAATGAGGGGAAGGCGAATGTGGAGTTCGAATGGATGAAAGTGGAAACCTGAGGCACTGCCTGCCTGGTTCTTCAGGATCACCAGGGCAGCGCCTCGGCTTGCCCGATCGGGCAACTTTTCAACGCCCGCAACAGTTATAAAGATGGCTCGACCCCAGCAGAGGATGGGAAGCTAATTTAATCACAAACAATCATGGCTGTCGGTATTGTGAACGGTTCTAGCGGCAAGTCCGCCTTGCCGCTGGTGCGCGAAATGTCCAAGGATCATGATCTCGTCCTGAAAACGTTTCGCATGCTCATCGCCGATCTGTGCCAGCAGTTCGGTGGTGGCCACCCTGGGTACGTTGTCGCTGAACATCATACATTGAGGAAAATTAACACTCTTCAGAGGAGCCATTGGTATGGCCGCCATCGGTGTCGCGCTCTGGCGATACGTGATGCGCTACGCTCCTCACACTCCCGATTACTTCAACCGAGATCGATTCGTCCTTTCCAACGGCCACACCTGTCTCTTCCAATACACCTTCTTGCACCTCACCGGATACAAGGCTATGACCTTTGAGCAGCTCAAGTCATACCACTCCGATCGCACGGATGCGCTCTGTCCCGGTCACCCGGAAATCGAGCACGACGGCATCGAAGTCACCACCGGCCCTCTGGGACAAGGAGTCGCCAATGCGGTTGGATTGGCTATGGCGACGAAGAATCTGGCGGCGAAATTCAACAAGCCAGGATATGATGTCGTTAACAACCACACCTGGTGTATGATCGGCGACGCCTGTTTACAGGAGGGTGTTGGCTTGGAGGCCATCTCGTTCGCCGGCCACCTCAAGCTTAACAACCTGACTGTTATCTATGACAACAACCAGATCACCTGCGATGGATCGGTCGACCTAACCAACACAGAGGATATTAACGCGAAGATGCGCGCCTCCGGCTGGGACGTCATCGATGTCGAGGACGGGTGCTTTGATATCGAGGGCCTTGTGCAGGCATTGGAGCGTGCCCGTGCTGCCACGGACAAGCCCACCTTTATCAACGTCCGCACTGTGATCGGACTGGGCAGCAACGTCGCCGGCCAGGCTGCCGCCCACGGCGCTGCCTTTGGTGCGCCCAACGTCGCGCAGATGAAGAAGGACGTCGGATTCAACCCAGAGGAGCTGTTCGTTATCGGAGAGACCGTGCGGGATTTCTTCCAGGATCTTCCTGCGCGGGGAGAGACCCGAGTGCAGGAGTGGAATGATCTTGTTCAGAAGTATACCGCTGATTTCCCCGAGCTGGGCGCCGAGTTCGAGCGCCGGGTGAACGGTGAACTGCCCTCCAACTGGAAGGACCTGATTCCGACCAGCTTCCCTGACAAGCCGACGGCCTCCCGCGCGGCATCCGGCCTTGTCTTCAATCCCATTGCCAAGGAGTGCGAGTCGTTCATGGTCGGCACCGCTGATCTGTCGCCGTCCGTCAACATGATCTGGCCTGGCAAGGTCGATTTCCAGCATGTAAGTTTCCTCGGATCATCTTCAGTCTATCTCTCTGACCAAACAGCCCGACCTGCGCACCACCTGCGGAATCAACGGAGACTACTCCGGTCGCTACATCCACTACGGAGTGCGCGAACACGCCATGGGCGCCATCTCCAACGGTCTCGCCGCCTACGCCCCCAACACCTTCGTCCCCGTCACCTCATCCTTCTTCATGTTCTACCTCTACGCCGCCCCCGCCGTACGCATGGGCGCCCTGCAGCACCTCCAAATCATTCACGTTGCCACACACGACTCCATCGGCATGGGCGAGGACGGTCCGACACATCAGCCCATCGAGCTGGCCGCTCTCTACCGCGCCATGCCCAACCTGCTATACATCCGACCAGGTGACAGCGAGGAGACGGCAGGTGCCTGGATCGCCGCTATCGAGGCTAAGAAAACACCTAGCATTATCTCCACTTCCCGACAGACTCTCCCTCAACTCAAGCAAACGCGCCGCGACGGCGTCCTGCGTGGTGCCTACGTCCTCGAGGAGGCCGAGAACGCAGCCGTCACGCTCATCGGTGTGGGCGCGGAGCTCTCCTTCGCCCTTGACGTAGCGAAACAGCTCAAGGAGAAGGGTATCGTGGCGCGAGTGATCAGTTTCCCGTCCCAGCGACTCTTCGAGCGCCAGACCCTTGAGTACAAGCGGTCCGTTCTGAAGCGTGGTACGCCAGCTGTGGTCATCGAGCCGTACGCGCCGAACGGATGGGAGCGATACGCCACGGCGGGCATCTCCATTCAACGATTCGGTCACAGCTTGCCGGGCAAGGCTGCTTACAAATATTTTGGTTATGAGATAGATGTTTTGACGGGCAAGGTGGCTGATTACCTCGATCGCGTGGCGAAGGATGAATTTTTGCAGGGAGAGTACGTGGATTTGTAATTATGACTTTTATGAATATAGATCTCTTTATTTTTTTTGGCAGTATCTCTTGAAGCAGAAGAACGTATCCCATTGGTTTTCTTTCAGATAAAAGCACATAAAAAGCCTTTAAAGGCACAGGCACCCAGCAAACACAGACATACCCTCATCACTTCTCCATGCGATCCGCAGCGCAGCTTCCACCACTATTCTTTTCATGTCCCAGGGTCGACTCCTCCGACTTGGTCTTCTTGTACTTCTTCTTGTTCTTGTTTTGACCATTGCGGGTGTTCTGTTCCTCGCCATGGCTGTTAATTAGCAATTATAATGATCAAATGGATTGGAGGTCTTACAAAGAGAACTGTAGTGGCACGATGAAGGATATTCAACCGTTTCATAGGGGGGAAACGATCCGGATTCTGTGCCAGAGAATCCGTTGTGTCGATGGACCATTTCCGGCAATCGCGTTTAAAGTGTCCAACTTCATCACAATAGAAGCATCTGAGGGGCTTCTATTTCAACAGGCGTCAGTTACCAGTCTGGAAGTTTGAGGAACTCTTTTTGCTTTAGTGACTTTGGTCCCAGGCGCCATTACATGACGTCGGACAGCACCACACACAGACGGACAGAATCACACAAAGCCACACAGCAAACGATACACAGAGCGAAGGACGACGGCATCAAAGTGAGGGCAAAGTTGTGGCAAAGACCCGAAGAAAGAAAAGAGAAGGAAGAGGGGCACAAGGGGGGAGGGCCCTACTTATCTACGGGGACCAGGCGCTAAGTCCGGATCGGGCCTTGTCAGTGACAGGATCAGCTTCACCGTTGGGGTAATTCGGAGTGGGATTCACCCGATCTGGTGGCAGAAACACTCCACTGTTGAGGGATTTTTCAACGGGGAGGGGGAGAAGTAGGCTGGGTATACATGCCGGGTTGTGTTCCTGATTCCATCTCTAGACTTTCGTAGATTTACTTGAAAGTATGACGAGAAGCAAGATACGAGTGTACGGAGTAGATTGATATACATCATCGGATACTAACCCTTGATTATGGTTGTGCAATGGCTGTTTGAAGGTGTAGGATCTACCTTGGAGAATTCGAGGTCGAGTTTGGAAGGGTTCTGCATACATCGCGGAGAGGCGGGGTGGAGTTAGTAGGCTGCGGGGAAAGCTTAGCCGTCGATCTCAGGCACCACCTTACCCAGGCCAGTGTGGGTGCCCTGGCTACAAGGCAGTACTGGAGTAGGCTGGAATACCTTGAAGACCAACATTAATCAAGTAGGGACTCCACTACCCCATACCATACCGTAAATCTATCAATATTAATTTTGCGACCCATCGTCTTTTTCTATTGACATTTATTGTTACATGGAGGTCAACTTTATTGTTGGCCAGAAAACACTAAACAGTACGAAGCCACTTAAGATATATATCCAGGGCAAAGCGGAAGACCAACGGAACCACAATCAAAGCTCATCGGCAAGGGCACCAATCATATCGGACCATAGATGGCCCACAAAAACCCCGAATTCATAATGGCTTGGTCATCTGGCCAAGTATCTACCCAACAAGCGCTCTCTGGCCCTTACGAATAACTGTCCTAACGATTGTGTGGAGATCTCGTCAGTTGAGGATGATGTAACATAATTTAACATCGGAACTTCAACAACATCCGATATGGTGTAATGGTTAACATCGCCGTCTCTCACACGGCAGCTCGGGGTTCGATTCCCCGTGTCGGAAT